CCCGCACGGGAGTGCGGCAGGGCGTACAAGAGCATGTGGGACTCCCGGCACCTGCCAGGGAGGGCGGACAAGACTACGACGCTCAACCCTCTCGTCCCGGGCACGTATTTTAGTACGGGGCAAAAGTGAGAAAAACAGATATAGACCCCAAAGAATAACTCGCTTCCAAATGGTACTGTAGTTTTTCATTCGTCCACGGGACACGTGTCGAATGCGCGGGGTTCTCAATACAAAACATTGGGTTTGGGGTGTTGTTCTCTTTTGTTTTGGGTATTTTTTATCTTTCAGGTCTGGGGACGCAATATGGGCAACAGCAGCACCTTTGTAGTGATGTTGCAGGGCGCTCTGTCGGGCCGGTTTCCGTTGAAGCTGACACTACCATACGAGCCCCCCTGCCAAGCGACCTTCCCTTCAACTTGCATTGACATTAATCGCATTTCACCAGTGGAGGCCAAAACAAGAGCGCAAAGTATATGTTTTCCCTTGAACCCGCTCCGACTTAAAGCTGAACTTCTACATGGTTCACTGGTAGGACGCACTCGAGTTGCCTGCCTGTTGGTGGGCAACGCTGTTGAATGACGTCGACGAATGCCGCGAACCGCTCGCTGTTGATGTATGCAGTTGCTTATCTCATGGCTCCACACAAATGCGTTTTCGATATGTTTCTCTCTGCCTGGCTTTGTTGCACTCAGACACTCGAACTATATGTGATGCTCCACTCGTTTGCGGCACCTTTTTTCCGACTGTATGCTCGTGTGCTTATTCTTGTGTGTTGATCAAGCAACATCCTCGAAAACGACATCCACTGCAACCCCTTTCGCCCGCTGCTACATCTCGTTGCGTGCAAATTCAACCTGAAGCTTCAAAGTACGTCAAAGCTTGAAGATAGTGAAGCGGTTCGTCAGCAACAACGTCCAACGCCACAGACGACTAAAGTACGAAAAACAGATATCGTCAACGAGGGTTCAGAGGGCATGGAGACGGTGGATGTTGCGCATGAGCTTGAGCCGGATGGTGTTGGCCACGGCTGCAACCGAGGTTCGGTCAAGCGCGACGTATGTAACTGTAGTGCATTTTTAAAGGATATTTTGTCAAGAACATGCTACAACCTCTAGTCAAATCGGGAGCATCTCATCTGAAACGTCGCAATGAAATCGACGACTGCCTGTCTTGCCGAAGAACATCTGTAGATGATTCGATGCGGGACTGCGCTTTCAACAACAAGCCGACGCCGCCATGAGTACGAACAAGACCAACTTGTGAAGTTGCGCTAGGGGTTTCAGGATTGGGTTGATACCAACGCGGTCATTCCGTTCCGCCGCTCACTGCAAACCACAAGGCTTAGTTGGCCATTGCACAGCCCTGTCACGGGTTCTCTCTTCGCCCTTGTCCAAAGCACTCTTGATGGCAGCTGGAAGGCCGGGGCGCTAGAGGCACGAGACCGTCGCGTTTGTTTCTTTGTCCCTCTTCTGCTCGGAACCCCTATCCTGGCTTCCCGTTTGACCAACCTCACTCCTTCTACTCCTTCTTGTGTTGTGACCAAACAGGAGGTAATTGAAAACGTGCTGATGGAACTAGCCCGGCAGGTGTACGTCGAAATCAAAGGCGCGGTCATAGCGCGGGCGTGGAAGCAATCCCGAAGACGATTCGGCAGCAAGAGCCGCAAGGTACGTTTCCCATTCAGTTCCATTTTCTCCGTGCTTTCTCAATGGCAGCGCGCATTTCGCCGCCATGCACATACGACAAGAAGGGTCGGCAAAGTTCATGTGTTACTTGGTTTGCTGCATCAGTTGGTTTTTGTCACGATTATTTGCGCAAGACGCAGCAGGCCGTGAGTGCTTCTCGGTACAACGAAACTATTGGTGTCTTCGTTCTCAGGGGGGACAATTCGATGTAATCATAAGATGTAATCATACGATTTAATCATAAGATTTAGTGAAGACTCCTTCCGGCGGAAGACGGACTTCGCTTAGGATAGATACTCCCCGGCGGGTGCTGAGAGCGCCTCTTTTTTTCGCAGGAGGGGATATATCGCAGCAACACTACTGTAACATCGTTCTCGGTGCATATCAATTTGTCGTACCTAGTGGGTGTTGTGAATTATTATCCTACGGCGGTCGGCCAGTCCCGTCCAAGCTTCGTCTTGTTGTTGTACTTCAGACCATTGAACGAGGCCGCAATATGTAGAGACTCGCCGTGAACTTCACCTCTAAACATTGGAAATCCTCCGAGCATGCCGCCGAGAAATCCAGCGACAAATTTCACCGCATCCTCCCTCTCCTCCCCCCTCCAACGAACAGACTAGAATTTCGCTCGAAAGATTCTCTTCCCCCTCTAATCGCTTTTACATCCCAAATCTTACTGCCGAGCGTTTTCAACCCGTTGCCGGCATGACCACCAACAGGGCAAGAACGGGCGGGTTTTCGTAACTCAGGGCGGCGGCTCGTCCCCGCGACGAAAGCCCGCCAGGGTGGGGGGCTCGCGGACTGGGGTGACGTCGGACCCTTCCTCTGCTTACCCCCCCCGGCGTTCCCCATCCGCCGCACCCGGTAACCGGGGCGGGAACAGGGGCAAGAACGGCCCGGCGGTTGCCTCCCCCCCTCCCGCTTTCCTCGGCGTCGTCGCCGCCGCCACGACAAGCACGGCCACGTCCGCGGGCGCGGCAGCGGTTGCTGCTGGTGGCGCCGGTGGCGACACGAACGAGGAGCGTCGGGGGTCGTCGCAGAGTAGTAATCCATTGCCGTCGTCACGTCAAAAGACGGTTTCGCCCTCCGAGGACGGCAGCAGCGCGCTTTACCCGCACCCGCGCTCTCGACGGGCGCGCTCTTCTGCCTCGGCGACAACGGAAGAAGAGGCGTTACGCGACGGGGGCGCCGGGGGCTCGAAAGTGCCGGACTCGTCGAGCGCTAACCGACCACCGTTTGAAGCCGTTCCGGGAGTCGAGAGCCCGAAGAGCGAGATGAGCTGCAGTAGCAGCTACGGTGTCGGTGACGGCGGCAGAGACGTTTTTGGACGCGTCGAAGACGATGCTACTACGGGTGCGGTGGAGGGCAGCGTGGTAGACGGGGGGACAACGCTGAACGAGGAGGCACAAGAGCAAGCCAATGCCACTTCTACTGTGGCTGCTGCGGCCGTGGCGGTGGCATCGTCTTCGGGGAAAGTGGTGAAACAACCCATGCGGCCAAGCGGTGAAAAACCAAGCAAACTGTCAGAGGGTCGTCGCAGCTATAGCAGACCGCACGCAATCCAGGTCGGAGGCCGAAGCAGACTTCATAGCAGTGGTGCCGATGGCGGTAGCAGGACCGCAGCGGCAACAAAGGAAGTGGTGGCATCTGCGCTTGCTGGGAGTAGTGCCGAGAGTAACAACGGTGACCCTCTCGCAGCTGGAGAAGCAACAACGGCGGCGGGTTGTGTGACCGTTGCTTCAGGCGCTACGGGTGCCGAAGACACCGAGGCACTCCCCGCAGCTGGTGGCCTTGGAAAACGCGAGGTGAATTTTGAGGAGACGGTTCGACTTGGAGGGGACGATGATGGCGACGATGGTGATGGTGATCGTGACAACGATGACGATGACGATGATGATGGTGATGCGAACAAGATCCCGGCGGCGGTCGGACCGGACGAAATAGACGCGGGCTCTAAAAAATCGAAGTTAGAAGAGTATGGTAGCGACGTGTTTGAAAGCGACGGCGAGCTTTCGTTGACACGCTGACTGATATGAGCACAAGTTGACCGTTCGATTGGCAGTCTTGGTGTTTATGTGCCCCTCGATGCTACTTCGCCACGGTGGAGAGCGGATGGATGCGGTGTGACATGCACACAACAAGTAAGGTCATGACTGTTTTTTTTAGGCAGAGATTACCTACCACGTCTTCTCTGAAGGGGGATATTGCCCAAGAGCCTGATGACTCTGATCTTTGCGACTACTCATTCATGCTATTGTGACAAACTGGAGTCCATTGCGCCTAGATTTTCGCTTGAAGCGATGGACAGCAATGATGAAGCCCGACTCTTGAGATGAAAACCGACATTTAACCATACTTCTGCGTAACATCAAAGAGAGATACCCGTCCGAAGCGATGTCATGTGTTGAAGTGCAAGTTTACAGAACAGAGGGTTGACGGAAACCATCGCTGCTGGATACAATACAGGAGTACTGGAGTATTATTTGAGTCTATGATGTCTTCACCCTGCAGCCTGAGAAAGCAGTGGTTTGCGATGCAAGCCGGGACCAAACCACCTACTTCATTTCAAGTCTTGGAGAAAAAAAACTGCTTTCGAAACACCCCAACGCCAATTAATTGCCAAACAAACCAAACTGACAATACTACTTGAGTACGATGATGATGCTCTTCTTCGCAGGACAAAGATACTGGTGAAAGTACATGTATCAGTATGCAACAACAAACTAAAACTACGGTGACGACAAAAAACACGAAGAACATCACAAGGAGTACCTAAAAGAAAAAGAAGAAAAAAACGAACGGTGTTTACATGTACCCCCTCCTGTGTGACCCTGGATGGTTGGGTTGTAGTTGTAGAAAAAAAAAACACCGAAAAGTGTAGTACACGTCTCACCACGAAAAATGGGGGAACTGTCGTCATTAAAACACACACACGTATATAATATTCAACGTATGGTGGTCTTGGCAAAGGCGCAAATCGACTTATCGTAGCCATCGCCAACCACTTGGCATATGAAGCCTTTTGCAAGGGAAATTTCGACAACGAAACAGTCTTGCTTCGCCTAAAGGTTTTTCATACCAATAATAGGATTCGGAGACGGTTTACCTTCGAGCTGGCTCGTTTTCTATCCGTACGAACTCGTGATGTTTTCAAACGTCATGGGCTACTTCTTTATCAGTTCCCACCACGGCCAATAGGTTGGGATCTCGGTAGTAGTGAGGATAGCAACGACCAGGATGGCAATGAGGGGAATTCGTTTGGCAGCGATGAAGGAGGAGAGGAGAGGGAACAGGAGGAGGACAAGACAGAGACCAAAGCAGCAGTCGAGGAGAGAACAAAGGCGAGGAAGAGAGCAAGAGCTTTGACCCAGATGACCTTCCCCACCACCAACGACGCAGGGCTAGAGAAGAAATGTTGACAAGTTGCTGTGAAAACGACCATCAGAACGAACGATGGAGCGAGTTGGAATTGGAAAAGGAAGGAGCATGCATGACGGTGAAAGCACTCCAAAACGAACTCGAGTGCAAGGTAGCAGCCTTCGTAGACGTGTGCAGTTTCTTCTGTTGCTATTGTACCGTTTCTTCTGTCTTTGATCCGGAGAATAGTTTAGTCTCCACCAATTCCCCCCCTCACGGGGTCCCAGTTAATGGCATTTAGAAGTGTTTTGTGTTTTCAACCGCACTGAGACTGACGACGTCTTTTCATTTAGCGCGGTCGATGCTAATAATAAAAACACACACACATTAGGACACACAGTGTGACACATAATAAGGAAAAATAAAAACACACACAGAAAAAGGTACACATCTTTGATCCGGACAATAGATTAGTCTCCCCCATGCCGCCCCCTAACGGGGTCCCAGTTGATAATGGTATTTAGAAGTTTTTTTCTTCTTCTTATATGACACAACGAATCCATCTCTATCTCAGAAAAGAGTCTTCTTGTGTTTTCAACCGCACTGAGACTTGCTGGCGTCTTTTCATTGGTCAGCCGGTTAGCGCGGTCGATGCCAACATGCTAATAATAAAAACACGCACCTACACGCCACACACCTGCCTGTACGGAAAACACACGTACGGAAAACACGAAACACGAAGATATTTAGTTAAGGAAAAATAAATACACGCACAGAAAGACTACAACCCATTCGAGATATATATACCCACAGTCGAACGGGATGTATGCGCGCGGCGAGATCTCTAATTTTTTAAGAAGTTCCTTTTCGGCGAGATTTTATTTCCCTGCATGTTTGTTTCGGTTTCAACCGCACTGCTTTATGGTGACATCAACAAAGGCATGACCAGCTTTGACAATTGAACATTGCTTGCCATCAGAGCGCGCGCATGGAGAGCCTGCAGCTTAGAGGTATACATACAACACCTGGACTTGGTTCTTAATGGGTTCGTGTGCTTTGCGGGGTCGACCGTGTAAAGCTCTCGCATGCCTAAGCGTGCTTTGCGTCGCAATGCTCCAGATCGCACCCAGCAGGGGGCCTCCGTGCACGGCAGACATCCGTCGGACGATCGAGCTACCCGAAACAACAAGTATGTCTTGCTCGAGGAGAGAGATCGCGAGGAGAGAAGACTACAGAGGATAGAGGATCGGGAACTGTCCGGGCAGAGAGGAGGGCCCAGGCCGCAGTGGATGCCTGCCGCCTCGGCCGGACCCGCCGCTGCAGGAGGATGGGTTTCGCCAGGCGGCAGCAAGAGAGGAGGAGCGGGATCGAGGCTGAGGATGACGAGAGTCGATGGGTTCAACTCAACAGTGGGGTTCTCGCCTCGGAATAGAAAGGTGTGCACGCTACAGCAGCAGTAGACTGCGTAGAGTAGATGGTTGGCCAGTACATACTACTGCTGTGCGTTGTCGCCGCTGGGCAGCGTTCCTTCTATTGTACAGGTGCATACAGTAGTAAAGTAGTGTCGCCGAGCGCACTTGGAGTGTTTGTATAGCAGTCTTTCCTGTAGCTATATTTGTAGGAATTGTCGAGTGTACGTGGATGCCTACAAATCGGCATCAGCATTACAGCCTATCAGTCATACGAATTGTAGTCTATTCTCCGATCGATACGAAAACTGGGGCATCGAAGGCCATCAGCTCTCCACCTCAACACTACAGTAACTCAATGAGAATGTTGCCGCAACGTTTGGAGTTCCAAACATCATATCTTTAACATAATTTCCTTGGTTCTAGTTTTTTATCGCCACCCGGTGGGTGCGGAACCCTGCTCCCGGTGCGGAATGCGATTCTGTGTTCGTTCTGCATACAAGCTTCCCCAAAGTACCCCTGGTGCGATAGCTCCGATATGTGCGATACTTACATAGACTGTAGAGATATTTAGCAGATTTGCGGTTGTACAGGATCCATCAGTAGCAAAGCGCACTCACCACCGAACGTAGATGTATATTGGCGGGGGCATTTGAAACGCTGCGTAGTTCTCGTACGAATTCCCGACAAAAGGTAGCGAACTACAATAACACCCTCCGGTGCGATGACTCTGAGGGATGTGAAACCGCGGGGGTGCCCTGACCCACCACAACTTCGGTATCATTTGTAGACGACGGTGAAAGCCACACTGAAAGAAACCCGATAGTTATGGCACAGGCACTAATATGCATACGATGCGGGGGTTGGCACTCTAGTGAGCTAGCTCACCCCTTCCCCCCACTTCCCCCCCATCACCCGACGTTTTGCCGAACCTACGGTCGGCGTACCTTGTTTCTTGACTTCGGGACCTTGTCTAAAAAATACGAGAAGAGAATAGCAGTTATCATCCCTTTCTCGAGAAAGGCTCTTTTGCACGCTGCAACGAACACATCACTCTTCCCCGCGACATCAGTGGTAGTGCTATAAACAGGTTTGTAGCCAGTCAGACGAGCAAAATGGGCTGCGCCTCTCTACATGTTGTGCCCTGTGAGTACTGTCCTTACGTCGCCTTGGTTGAGGCTTGCTGGGCCGCACATGAACCCGCTACAACCTTCCTCTCGTGCACGACACCCCGAATACTGATGCACAGTACGGCCGTGCACAGACATGGTACAGTAGAGAACCGCCCCGTACTTGTCTTGCGTGTCGGAGATGAAAGTGTCCACGTGTCCATGCCTAGAAACACGTTTCTCGAACACAGCAAGCTAGAAGATGAGATAGACTATTTTCCTTTGGTTGTAGTCCCGACGCCTTCAAATACCATGCTTACCGACGGTACATTGTCGGTGCACCGTAGAGAGCGTCGCGGAATCGGCTCGTCATGTCAGAGGAATAAGTGAGCGAAGTCTTGGCGATCTTTGATCCAACAACAAACGAGTGCCAGCCTGTTATTTCAGACTGTCAGACGTCGACCTTCATGTTTCGTGTTGGGGGGTGCAGAGACATGTTGATGAAGACTCAGTATCTATCTCCGCATCCCCAGCCATATCAAGAACGATAATCTACGGAATAAAAAGCAAGAGGTAAACAAGCTTGCTACCTTTGCTTTCTACAGCGGGTTCGTTCTACGCATACTGCTGTATGTAATGGCTTCGAGGCATCTCTCAGAGCTGTTAAGGAGTGTGGCTGCTAGCTTAAATAGGGTACATCTTATTGTTGATAGGATGTGGGTCGGTCTCAGGAGGTATATATACCCTTCAGACACCTACCCTCTTAGGATTTTGTCTAGTCTGCGTACCCCCCTGAGGTGAAGTTGGATCCCCACTTCACCTCAGACCCTTGCTGATCGTCTCTCAGCAATAACAAGCAACTTTCTCATCTCTACGTGATCGTGGACAAGCGTGTCAACGACAGAACCTACCTTCATCTATCTCTAGGAGCAAGCTACCACCCACGGCTTCCCCTCCTTTAAACTTGGCGTCAGCGGCAGGATTATGTGCGAAGGTGTACCGATTCTGGTAAAAGTCAATCGACGGATACCCTGCGAATCGGGTCCTCCTTAACACTCTCCACCCACAGAATTTACCCTCAACTGGGAACCTCTTGTGGCCAGGACGGGTAATTCGATGGAAGTGTCACAAGGTTCTTTATAGGATCGATTCCAAGAGGTGTTCTCAGGACTGACACACATGGTGTCCATGGGAAATGTCCAAGTCAGGAGAAAAAATGTGCACCCAAGGAGATTCGAACCAGTATCCTGCCGCTGACGCCATGTGCGAAGGTGTACCGATTCTGGTAAAAGTCAATCGACGGATACCCTGCGAATCGGGTCCTCCTTAACACTATGGGAAAATGTCCAAGTCAGGAGAAAAAACGTGCACCCAAGGAGATTCGAACCAGTATCCTGCCGCCGACGCCATATGCGAAGGTGTACCGATTCTGGTAAAAGTCAATCGACGGATACCCTGCGAATCGGGTCCTCCTTAACAGAGCCCTGTGCCATCCGTGTCATTGGCCTGCCCCTTCTTCGATGTTCACGTTTTGCTCATGAGCGATGAACACGACCTGTGATTGCATTGCCCACCCTCCCGACAACGCGCATTTGGGCAACAATCTTCCTGGTAAAAAAAGCTTGAAGTGCGCCTGTAGTGCGAGGCCGGCCACTTTGTTCCACCACCTATCTGTTTGTGTGCGAATGTTTCACTCTGCCTTTTTGTCGACTGAAACCGCCAATGCAGCTTCGAGCGAGCACAGCCTACCGGCATCTGTATCTTCACCGAAACGTAAAACCATCCCGGCGCATACCGCCCTCGTGTACGACTCGGTGCACGTACGCACACGCGCCATCGGAACAGGCCAGCCCTTTGCTCTCTCGCGAGCCAAATAGTCCTTGTCCGCTTCTTTGGGCAACCACCGCCATCACCACTTGCACGCACGCACTACCCGCGCATTGCATCCGTTCTACCGGCTGACGAACCATAACCTGTCCCCCACGAACGAACAGGACCGACCGTTCGCGGAGCGGGCTTGCATTCCGGCGACAGAGGTGATCGACGTTCTCGAGAACCTGTCGGGCACCTTGATTTTTAACACCGCCACCTCGCAGGAGCGGCTCGCGCTTGCCAGTCGGTTGCGGCACTGGGTCGTCGAGGACGGCACATACCTCATCCGAGAGGGCGACGGGGATAGGAATCGATCGGCGATTTTCATGATCGGTGGGTCGATGCGCGGCGGGGTTCGGTGGCCTCACGATATGTACCGTGTTTGATGTTCAAAAGGCGTCTGAAATTGGACTGGTCATGCACCCACTCTCCTTGGGCCGGAAATTTTCTCGTAAGATGCGCCACGCAGTTAGGCGCAGCAGGATGGGTCACCTGTGGTCAGAGTCCGGGGAAGGGAGACTCTATCCGAAACGGCAATTCCTCGCAAGCAGTATGTTGAAGGCCGCGAATATGTTCGTTGGAATGAAAGGCCGTGCCACCATTTTCAACGCGTTGGGCGAATCGTCACAGTTCGACTGCTACGTCTGCATGTGCTCATGTAACACACTCTAAATAGTAGAGACATCGCCTCTAGAGCCAAGATATTCGTGAAGCAAATCCAACCCCAGCAGCAGCATCCCCCCCACCCGCACAGTCCCTGCAATACGGCGGGCTCATCGCAACCATCGCCCCGGAAACCCACTTCTTCCCTCACGCCCCCGGTCTGCCGTCCCCGACCTATCTCCGCCCATTCCTCCATCATGACCGCCTACTTCTCGTCCCGTGTTTGATCGTGTGGGTGCAGCCTCGGGGAAAGCCACGATATCCCTCAACAGAACCATCGAGGGCGGCTCTGTCCAGGAGGTGGACATCAAAGACATCAAGTCCCCCAACTACTTCGGGGAAGGGAGGGTCCTGGGGGACAGTCAGGCGTACGCGAGCGTGAGGGCGAAAGAGGAGCTCGTCGTGTACTACCTCATGCGGGCCGACATCGAAGAGCTTGTCAGGTTGGTGGGGTCATCGCCCGTCTCTCCGCCCTCGAGTACCTCTTAGGCCAATCTTGTGGCGAGGTTGCTTGCGTACACGATCTGTGCCGGCGTTTCGGTATGCACCCGCTCGTGGATGGTTTTTGCGGGACGGGGCGGGTGTTGGACGGGGGCTTGAGGTCCCCCCTGCATCCTTTGAATCGATCAGTGTATCCATCGCCAGCCTGTGGCAACGTAGCGCCCTTCGTCAACACGACTACTTCGTCGAACGATTTTTTCTGGGGTGGAACGCCAGGCAGTGCGTCAATTTGATTTTTTAGCGAGATCTTATAACAACGTTCTCTATACACCACAAACAAACATGGATTTGCGAAGTCGGTGAACGTACACCAGCGATCTTTCCACCAGCGATTACACGATGTATGCGACAGCGTGCGATGGTTTATTACGCAACAAGAGGGGTGCTCCATGCGAGAATGCCCTCCCTTGGCGTGTGTGCGGTGTGGAAAGGCTACGGTAACCCGGTGTGCAAAGGCTACGGTGGCCCCCCAACTTCTACGAATATTGCACGAATATTGCTGTGCTTCGTCGTACTCCTGGTCGTGCGGGAAGGAAAGTTTAACTCCCTAAAGGGCGGCTTAGGGCATTTTCCGGTCGTCTTGGTTGTTGTCTTTTTACCTGGGTAGGAATCATCCGATGGGGTCTGCGGAAACTGTCACAACGACACAAGGAGATGCGAAACACAGATGAAGCGACTTCTCTCTTCCTCTCCTCCACAGTCTTGCCACTCTTCTCTCTCTCCCTCGTCCGCTCCATCCCCATGGGCCTCCCCGCTTGCAAACGGTGGAACATCCCAACGTTATGAAGACATTTTGGTCTGACAGGGGAAGGGGGGGGGGCGGGGGGGGGTTCTGACGTTCCCACCGGAAACACGCACGGTCATCCCCGGGATTTTGGCACGTAGAACGGCTTCCTAGGCGAATCTTGGCAGGCAAGGACGACCGTTCAAACACCAACAAAAGGTGGTCCCGAACCAATCTTAGTCCTCTCAGTGCCAACGAAACGTGCTCTCGAATCAATCTTAGTCCTCTCAGAAGACCGAGCCCAGCAGCCGTGCCCTCTTTCGAAACATCGTGGGAAACAGGAACGTAGGCTTTCCCGTCCCAAGTTTGGAGTCCACAACACCACCAGCGGCAGAAAAAACTCGCGTTTCACACGGAATGGGCTGACAAATCCTCTGAACCAAGCCTCACATCGCGGCGTATCGCCTGACTGTTGTGCTGCGATTCATCTTTATGCCTCGCCGGGGCCATCAATCAATCCGCTCAGCCCAACGACGAGGGCTTTGATGGAGCGGGACATGCTCGTCAGAAAGTTCCAGAAGGAGCACCTTGACGACCTTTTTGCGGTCATCAGGAAGAACCTTTCGGGCATGGAATGCCTCGCGAGATTCGCGGAAGAGCAGCGGATGGGCGGGGAGGTCGGGTTCTTCATCGAGGTGGAAGGTACGAGGACAGCCGTAGGGTGGCTCAGCCATCGGGAGCGATTCGATGAGGAAGCGCGGGACGGATTCAGAAGCGGGGAGGGGGGCTCCTATGTAGAGCATGAGAGCTCTCTCCATCTAGCTATCTCTCTCTATCTCTCTTTCCGTAAAGTAACGTAGACACGGGTACTCGATGGGGCGAACAGAACAAGGCATCGGAAGCAGTGCCTGCTGTCTTTGGGGTGGGAGGGTGAATCTGGCGGGAATAATTTCGGCCAAGGGCGAGGAAAATCTTCGCGTGTACTGGGGGGCACCTCTCTTCTTGATACGTCGAGAGGAGAAAGAGAGAGAGAGAGAGAGACAGACAGACAGACAGACAGACAGACACAGAGGAACGGAGGGGAAGGAGGTTGTTAATGGGGTTGCTTGGTGATGGTGAAGGACTCCATACTAAATCCTTGCTGCGCTGGAGAGGTACCTTGACGTGGTACAGGTAGACCATGATGAGTTCGCGAGGCAAGGAATATAGAGGCTTCCCGCGTTGATGGGTAGGCAGGCCGGTCTCATTTCATCGGCGCGGCTCTACCCTCCGGAATATTTCTTTTGAAAGCTCGAAGCTCGCCTAGGGGAGAGCAAAGGCCACGGTGTCACCATCGCCGGTTGCTGCCCTAGTTCCTTCGACTGCCGACCTACCGCCTCGCCCACACTTCCCGACAAACGGAAACCTTTGCCTACTTTCCCACCGTGCGCCATCGCTTTTACTTCATTTTAACCCGCTTCGGCGATTCGCTACAACTCTCTTCCTTCTTTTCGAGCAGCGTACCAGAACGCTGAAACGAGCGAGGACGACGAGGCGCGAAAGCAGCACGCGGAGAGAATAGTGGCCAGCTACATCTCTCCGAGCTCTTCGGGGGTGCCTGGCCTGATCTACACCTCCGAAGCCCAGCGGAACGCCTTGGCGGCGAAGATGAGGAGGTTGTGGCCCAAGCACAAACCAAGGCACGAAAACAGCAGCATACCCAGAAATAGCGAGAAGGAGGGGAGCGGGGGCGGGGGCAAGGTCGACCCGCCGGTCGTGCACGGCGGTGGGCTTGTCGGCGACGGCCCCGCGGACGGAGAAAAGGGGGGGGGGGCGTCGTTGGACGACGACCGAGGAGTTGCAGGGTTAGGGCGGCATACACCCCCGGGTGTGGGTGGCGACACTCTTGTTGGCGAGGGCGAAGGTTGTGGTGACGTCTCACCCGATTCATGTTCAGGCAACGCCGGCGACGGTGGCGAAGGTCCGGGTTCGCAATGGTCGGGGTCGCGGGATGCTCGCACGGAGTCGTCTTCATCGTCCGCGCGTTGGGACAGCGGGCGGAGCGACAACGGCGACGGCGAGGGGGACGGGGAGATGATAGACGGGGCCGAGGACGAGGAGGGTCGCCAGGGGACCGACCGCAAGGCGCTGTCCAGGTCTCTGTTCGATGAGATCTTGGACCAGAACGCCATTCCAACGATACGGCAGAACAGTGAGTAGTACTACTGTCCTTGGTTGGTTTTGGGTTGCGGACCCTTCTCTCCGTGTTGCGTTTCTCCGGCTTTGAGAGCTTGATCGCGTTTTGGAGAAGGGCGGCACCGGTGCACGGGTCAGCTTGAAACCACACCAAAAGCACCGCCAGTGAAAATCTAGCCTGCCGCAAGCGAAACGCACCACGTCGCGAGAGTTCAACTCCGCTTCGAGCACTACCTCTCCCTCCCCCCGTCTTCCCAATCACGCTCAGTCGTCCCCAAGTTCATCCAGAGCAGCTACTACGAGATCTTTCTGGCGGAGCTGTTCCCTCAGGTCGAGACGCCGGACATCGACGCTTCCGCCGGCAACGAGTCCCGCCTCGCGCACCTCAAGTCCGACAACACAAGCATGACCCTCGACGAGAGCGACGGCGGTCCATCGAGACAATACCGGACTACCTCTTTGGAGGAGGTCAGGGACAGTCCGGAGGCCCTGGCCGCGAGGATCGCCCAGGCGGTGGCGGCTGCCAGGAAAGTCGCGGAGGAGGCGGCGGTCGCCGCGGCGGCGGCGGCGGCAGCGGCTGTAGCTGCGGAGGTGGCGGACGGGGGACGGAGCAAGGTGATGCATCTATCTGTACGGGAGTCGTGCCAGCACCCGGCGGGTGTGGCAGCAGTAAATACGAAAAATTCGTATCGAAACGTCAGAAGAATTGTAGAATAGGAAGGATTGGTTGAAGTTTGCCGTGATTCTGTCGTTTCGAGCTAGGGAGGTCGATGGACCTAGGTGCATGTGGTGCCATGGGCTGTAGCATGCGGCACCGCATATATGCATCGAGTGCGGAGAAACAATGAACGTAAAGGGGTTGCATGTGATACGACCGCTTGTAAGGGCAAAAGCGTGGGAGGTCGGGGAGAAGTAGAGGGGGAGAAAGAGGGCAGGGAGTAGACTACAGTTGAGCGAGAGGAGTGAAATCCAAATGTTGTATCACAAAAGCGACGTGCAGACATCCCACGCGAAACATTGGTTCTAAGCGGCAGACCTCGCTGACTGGGCAAGCTCCGTGCATCTGCGTCTGACAGTCTCACCGTCGCTACCAAACACACAGAGTCTTGCTGTCGCGGTAGACTTCGATTACAGCTCCAGCTCGGCCCACATACTTGGATAGTGAATAGTCGTAGGATTGATTGGCCCGCTCGGCATTCATGGCCTGAACCTATGTCAAATACCAGCTTCTTTATGGTGATGATGCACGTCACCACCTGTACTGCGAGCAAGAGATCTAGCCTCCAGAGTGGTATCTTCTTTCAGGAGTATGTGGGTGTCGAAATATCGTCACCGGTACGGTGACGGGGTGCAGAATGCTTTGGCAGGAGGCTGCAATATCAAAGCACCCTTTGCTAGATATTTGATTCGTACTTTGACTGTTGATTGCCTGTTACTGCTGCTACGCGTACGTGTCCCCCCCCCCGTTGTTTTGACCTGTGTGTGTTGCTTACACAACAGCCCTCAATCTCTCTTTCTCTCCCTCTTGTTGCCCCTTCCCCTTTCTCTCTGCAGCCCGCAAACCATTTGCCGATGAAACCTGTTTCCCTTCTATCGTGCTTCTCCCTCCACGGTATACCAGGACCCCGCCGTTGCTGCTGTTGAAGCATCTGACTCGGCCCTAGAAGTTGCAAGGGGTCAAAAACGCCTGCTCACATTGGACGAGGCTAGGAGCGTGAACGACAGCGCCGTCAGCGGACTTCGATTCGCCGAGGGGGATGATGGCACGGACCATTCCGGCGAAGAGGAGGACTTCAGCGATGAACTGCTGGTGGTGATAGGATTCCGGAAGGGGGGGCTAGTCAGGAGAGTGTCGACGGGGGGGCTCGCGAGAATAGAAGAGAAGGCAGGAAAACCTTGTTTGCTGATGTAACGTCCATTGCAGGGCGATGATGATGTGTTGATAGCACTGGTGGTATTGAGTATGGATAACCACAAGCGTAGGGTATGGAGATCATGTTGTCAACAGGCTACGCATACAATGCTAGTCTAGAGTTCATAGAGTCCGTATTTTAGATATATACTGTCTTGGACTCCTTCTCTAGTTTGTTTTTCCCTTACAACGTCCCAATTCTTCTATCCGTGGAACAGAAACTACCATACCTGCGGCATATGCACTCTACGCCGTCGAGACCTAGATGGATAGGTAGAAATTGGCCATGAATGACGTAAAATTTACAGGCAGAGGTGTTTCAAAATGTTATTCCTCGGGAAACATGCATGATAGCTGTAGCTAAAGCTCCCCTGTTCCTGTAATGTGCAACAGGCTAATCAAGCTGTTCGCTTAATGGTCTTACTGTGTGTCGGGCAGCTCTTGTGCGTATGGTGGGACGGGCAAAATAGACGGTGTTTTCGTGAAGAAGTGCGTGAAGTGATGAGGCGGTGACAACAACTGCTCCTTGTGAGATATACATTTGCTTGTATACATCATATATGTGCGAGAACTGGCTACAGTGTTTTCGTGTTTAGACGGGGCATTCGGAATAATAGTGCATTTTCATATGTTTTTTTCCAAGTTCCTCTAAGAGACCGATACGGTCTCTAGAGGTCTCACAGAACGGAAAAAAAAAACGTGAAGGAATGAATCAAGGAATGAACGAATGGTCACTTTCAGTCCGAAGGCCTGAACAACACACTTTTTTTGGCCGAACGCCCGAGACGCGATAAATCGCTCCATCGGTCGTCCTGCACTACTTTTAGGAGCCCTCCGCAAGGTTCAGCTTGATTGGTGCCCTCTGTGTTGACGGTTGGCTGTGTCGGTGACCAGCGCTCTCAAGCACGAAACACGAGCATGCAGCAGGTCCTGCCGACGACACCAAATTGCATCGATCTCGATCGATTTGTGCCTAAACGTTGCCTGTCCTCCACCAAATTGAAGCCTCGTCCAATCTACAGCTGGATTGACAAGTCCTTCGGCGCTGGAATAGCTGTGTGCCTACCAATTTTGCCTGCCAACGCGATGAGCCCTAGCCCTAACCCTAAGTTAGGGCGGCCAATGAGAGCCCTTCAACCGAACCAGTGTACTCCTAAACAATAGATTATTACTTTGGAACGGGCACTATAACGGCTAATAACCCGAACGCTAACCCTAACCCTAACCCCAAGCCCAAACGATACGTGCTAGGTTGGCGCTGGTGGCTAAGTTCTAGGTTGATATGAAGGTGGCTAAGTTCTAGGTTCATATGCCGGTGGCGAAGTTCTAGGTTGAAGTGCCCACGGTGGGCACTTCATGGGCCGCCCATGAAGAGCCCATGAAGATCCCATGAAGAGCCCATAGAGCCCATGGTGACCCATGGGTGTCCCATGGGCGGTTTAGCAAAACTGTCAGTAGTGTGGGAGATTGAACTAAGAAGGTCGGGGGGGGAGCAGAGTAACTAAGTTTCCTTCACATCCTTCAGAGCAACGATACCCTGTAGATTACAGCAGCAAAAGAGAGGACTCAAAAAACAGTTAGTTACAGGGATGACCGTGAAATCCTTATAACAAGATATTTAGCGAGAGCGAAGTCGAATAGAAGACAACCCCCAGGACAGGATTGTAGAGACCAAAATATATTCTCATTGGGTCATGATGCTACTGCTGCTGTACGCATACAACTACAGCAGTGTATGACGCGACTCAAGCAGCACCAAGTCTATAGCAGTAAGTCTACTTGTGGGTCTATCTCGATAGATTGCCAGCAGTAGTGCGGCTTTAGACTACTTTTATGTGTCGTCATATGTGAGAAAGCACTGATGATGCCTGGTCGGCGTTACGACTACAAGCAGGCTCACCTCCCATACATAGGGGTCCAACAAAAAAAAAAAAATTATTTCGCGCGAAGCGCGAAAAGAAGGGTCGGAGAGACACATCACAGCAAGCGTAGATAGATATGGATGGAGCCTACGCCACCACGTAGGTCACCAGTGCGTTAGCTCTCATCATCATCAGCTCAGCGGCAGCAGTGCTGCTGCTGCTGCTGCTGCTGCTTGCTGTTACTGCGGCGCTGCTGCTGCTGCTGTGCATGGGTGCGCACTTGCTTTCTTCGCTTTCGCTACTAGCAGAGGGCAACAGGCTCAAAAAATTGGGCCCGACCCCTCCCACGACGTGCGTATTTGGCCACCCATGGCTTACAGCGCTGTGTACGTCTCACTTGTTTCTGTTTCTGGGGTGCATCTGTTGTGGAAGCAAAGATCGGCCGGCAGACGAGAGACAGCAGACAAAGATCTCACTTGTGTGCACTCGCATGTTCCCTCGCTTACGCTGCTAGCAACAGGCCTCGGGGTCCAAATATAGCTTCCGACGCCAGCCATGATGTGTGCCTTTGGCCGGCCTTGGCCTACAGCAGTGTCTAGGCCTCGTTTTCTCTGTTGTGGGGATACGTCTGTGCGGGAAGCTCCAAAGATCGGTAGGTTGAGGGTGATGCAGACGGACCGCGGGTTGACTTGCGTCGTCACTCGCTTGTGCTGCCGACAGCAGGCAACGGGCCGCAAGAGTCCCACCCAACGCCTCCCATGATGTATGCCTTTGGCTGCCCTTGGCCTACAGCAGTCCGTATACTGCTGTGCTGGTTGTATCGTATGTTGTCTACGTGATGTGTATGGTGCTGCTGCGCGAGAGGATTTCAGTGATTCTGCCGAGAGCGTCGTGCCCATCGCCCAATCATCTGTCTCTGTCTTACAAAATGACTTACAAACTCGACGGGAAAAAAAAGTGATGCGTTTCAATCCATACATACGCCACAGAGTCTCTTGTAGCACTCCCGGATCTCGCCGCATTGTGACGAAAACAGTGATCGCGGAATCGCGGATTACCACCGTGCGCCAGGCAAGTAGGGAGCACCTCAGGACACCGCAATGGCGACGACAGAGGAAGATCGACCTCTGATGCAACGCTTACGTTCACCGGGCGCGGCAGACGCCTCGCCAGGGGCAGGGAGAGCTCTCAAGCCGCTGCCATTTTCCCTCAAGGGTTTTTTGACGACCTTCTTTGCGGTGCTCTTCCTCTTCCTTCTGGCCGCGATGGCAAGCCGCGTTATCAAGTGGGCGAGCGACGATAGCTTGACGGCGGAGAGGGTGGAATATTCTCTGGACGGTGCGGAGGGCACTCGTCTCTCTGGCCTCGTGAATCCCAACAACGGGTCACACCCGACATTGACCACCACGGCGGACTGCACGGGAGGTGCGTTGAGCGTTACTGCTCTGTCTTCTGTAGATAGATATGTAGCAGCACGTCCTGCAGCAGCAGCAGTACAGCGTTGTACACCCCGTTAGCTGCATGGGCGTCGGACCAAATGTAGAGACGTTTTAGTCTCAGCAGTGCGCCTGTGTGTGCGTGCGTGTGTGTGTGTGTGTGTGTGTGTGTCCGTTTGAGCCCGACTCTTGGTTTATTTCTACCCATTTTGTTTCCATGCTTCCTCTCGCACGTGGCAAGTCGCTATGCGCGACTGAGCGGTGTGTCCCCTCTGTGAAGGTCACATTTTACATTTTACAATACACGACACAACAGAGGGATTCTCCCCGACATTTTGCCGTTGACCCAGTAGAGAACTAAAGGGATGTATTGTAAAATGTAAGTTACCTATACAGATGTTTTTGTACTTAGCACCAGCTGGCATCACTGATATAAATCATCAGTGTATTGTATAGACTTAAAAAGACTCGAAATAAGTCCAGTACTGAAAAGACTCCACACATCCCGTTCGACTGTGGGTGTATCTCGAATGGGCAGTCTTTCTGTGTGTGTATTTCTGTGTGTGTTCTTATTATTCCTTAATTTATTATTCCTTAATAATAAGTGATGGTTCTCTGCAGCGTTGCTGATCCGACAACGTGGGCACGGGTTGTAGTTTATAGTGCTGCTGCTAAGCCTTCGACCCTACCTGGCACTAAAACAGGGGCCCAGTCTTCCTGCCTTGAGTGAGCAGTCGGGGAGATAGCACTGGTCAGTGGTTTTGTGCAGGCCGGGTTGGAGCTAATTAGTAGGAATACATGCGAGACCAAACACAACTGGCTGCATCGCTTGTTTATCTTGACTCCATGTCTTGACTCCACGTAGTCCAGGAGGCAGACGAATTTGTTTCGTTTTGGTACAGGTATGTCCTGCTGGACGGTCCGCGAGAAACGCCGGTGCGGGCGATCGTTTGTTCTGGCCTACATCTGACTCTTAACTCTCTCTGGGAACACCCGCCTGGGCGAGTAAGGGTCGCGTCGTGCTGCGAGTGCCTCTGAAAACGTCAAGTTGCAGAGTGCGACAGAGAGCGGAGAGCGGTACATGCCTATGCATAGATGAATATCACCGGCCGGCGACCCAATATTATATCTCGGTGTGCCCATGATCTCGATGGCGGTGGTAAACGCGCATAAAAGAGCCGTTGTTTTCAGCAATCGGCAGTCGGTATTGCGATCCAACCCTCCCATGTAAGGAAGAAGCACAGGTACGGTCTCTGCCACAACCTCAGCACTGCTGTACACACGTCCACACAGAGGACAGATCAGATCCATACAGATCGAGGTTTAGCTAACTTTGAGGGGTATGTCCTTGTTGATCGGTAGAGGACATGGTGATCGGTGTACGAATTCCCGAGGTGACCCGAAGGACATAGGTGATCGGGGTAGGTTTGCCAGAGGTGATCTGAAGGACATATGTAGGTGACCGGGGTTTGTTTGCCTGAGGTGGTCTGAAAGACATAACGTAGCGATCCGTGTGTTTTTGCCCGAGGTGATCTGAAGGACATACTGCTGTATAGGTGGCATTAGATACCACACCAGATACCACAACCCGGAAGTATAACATAGAGCCCTATCACATCGGGGTGTGGTACGGCCGTGGTCACACACAAAGCGCAGGCAAACCTGCGCTAGAGCTATTGCGACGGACAACACAGCGGAGATGAACGAAGCACGCAAGACTGCTGGCATCGCGGCTCAGACTGCATTGGGTCAGACTCCTTGGCGGCGCCACGCCCAATTACGTCATTTTTTTCTGTGCCCCCTGAGACTAGCACCCGCTGTGCCTGCCACCGCCCGTGCTGCTGAGGCCCACACATGATACGTGTCACGTTATCACACCTCATGATTATAACAGAACACCTCATTATCACTCCCCCCGTAGGTTGGGTCGTGTGGGCGCACTTCATCTCACGGATGGCATCATCAATGCCCATCTTTAGCGCATCCCTTCCGAGTGTGGTTTATCACACGGGTCACACAAGATATCATATTCCCTACTGCAGATTACCACAAGCCTCTAACAATGTTATCACACGGGTGTGGTGTCTTATGTCTCCTACGGTAGGTGATCGGGGCATGTTTTCCCGAGATGATCTGAAGGACATAGGTGATCGGAGTATGTTGCTCCATGGCGATCTGTAGGACATACGTGAGCTGCATAGCTCACGATCTGTCCTATGTGTGCACACGTCGCCAAGGAAAGGCGGTTGTCGTGAACACATGTCGTTCTTGCGATTATTTCGACGCGTACAGGCTGAACAGTTTTACCCCGTGCATCATTTCACTGACCACTCAAACCCTCGCTTCGCTTTCTCGGCGGTTGTTGCAGACACGCATCTCCCCGTGCTGGGGGGCGTCGACGTGGTCGCGTATTGGACGTTACCGGCGGGGAGCAAACCGGTGTTTGGGACCCCTAACCTCGTCTCGTTGTTCGGAGACTACCGGTTCTACTTCTCTTCGATCGAGAACCTCAGAACGTTCGAGGTGGGTTAGGTTCGAGCGCCTCTCGTGAAGGAGGCCTAACCCTCAAAACAGCCGTCGGGCATGGTAAAGAATTGCGTGCGCCAACCATTCCGGATGGAAGCAGCGGGTGGTCGAACGGGTGGTTATATGTGTAGGCTGGTCCTGGTTTTGTCCGCCGTTGCTGCCGCTGCTGGGAGGCGCGCAAACGTCGTAGCAGTAGTGGCGGATGTGCTGCTGGTAATTGTACGCTGTTGTTGTTATTGAGTGTTGGGTGACTTTCGCTGCTGCTGACAGCAACATGTGCATTTTTTTTTTTATCAAAATGGCCCAAAGCACTTGTGGGGTTCCATGCCAGCAGCAGCGTTAGGCGCACGCAGAAATCAACAATGTTGTGGCGGACACATATGATGTTTCCCTGGTCGAAAGCCTTCTTCCGTTGTGGGCGGGCCACTCTTGACGAAGGATCGCGTTGGAGCTTAGGTCCGTCCTCATGATGAATCAAACACATCGTGTCGGACTACACTATTAACGTGTACATTCCACAGCCCGACTGTTTCTAAAGCTTGGGTGACCCTTCTTCTCGAAAATAAGACGACAAAGCCAAGGAACAAGCGCAACGGGCAACCCCACCCCCCCCCTATCATACAACCCCCCTCACGGTACGCTCTTTGACTGCCCCCAGAGTGATCCGGTGAGATACATCCCGGCCTGGGGTGGCTTCTGCTCCTACGGCGTGGCGGCTGAAACATTTTGGAGGCCCGACATCTTGGGGCCATTTGGCGACCCTTCCAAGTGGCTGATTTTGCCCGGCGATGGAAAGCTGCACGTGTTCCGAAGGTATGCATACGTTTGTATAGGCACAGGTTGTCGTCTAGTATTCTTGTTCAGCTTATGTTTTTGAAGGTTGAAGTTACCTGTATGTCTTGTACGGGGTTGGGAAGAGGACCAGTGGTTTGTTCGGGCCATACAATCAAAGCGCGGTTATGTGGTGGCTTGGGTGGGTCCGGTCGATGAGTTCCACCACGCCCGTAATAAAGTGCGTGGCTCCGGCAGGCGATAGTCGATGGCATGTTTGCTGGAGGCCTTGTCTTGACGGCAAGACGACGCAGGGCAGCCACCTGTGTGTCTCATAGTAGTCATGTGCTCGAATCAAGTGGAAGAAGCGGAACGAACAGGAGGATTTGGCCTTCCGTCTTCAGCCCCACCAAAAGATGGAAAACATGGTGTAGAACAGCCCATACTGCTGTACGTGCTGCACAAGAGCGCGGCCTTGGTGAAGAGCTCGGTCTTGACGCGCCCCAAACGCTCGTAGGCCGATTGTTGGCTTAATTCGGCGCCCACAATTTACGTACCGCATGGCTTCAGCTCTCAACGCTGCCCCTCTCCCAACCCCCTTCCATTCGAGTCGCCGAATACCTCACGGTGCCTCTCGCCTGGTGATGTGCTAGCCGGGTTGGGTGAAAAACCGCGTGCTCCGTCCCGTCTTTGTAGGGGTGCGATTTCAATGGTCTAACGACTACGGCAATGCACGACTATGAGTACACCCCCCCACCCCCCCACCCCCCACCCCCCACCCTCGTCTCAAATCTCCCGCCATTGATCCTCCTTGGTTGCCCCCCTGCCCCTTCCCCCATTCGCTTTTTCGCTCCATGCCGATTGTTGTTGGTGTACCTCGTCGCAGCGAACGACCTATGACCAAATTCCTCCTAGCCCCGGGGGAAAACCTCGAGGCTGGGGACGCCATCTGGAACGGCTGGTTCCCAGCGGAGAGGGGGGGTGCAGCACCCCTCAACACGGCTTGCCTGTGTAGCGAGGAGATGTGCGTCAATGGCTGACGCGGCGGCAGGCAGGCAATGTTTTTTGTTTTTTTTGCTACACATTGTTGTTGTTTTTTACACCCATGTCGTTGTTAGTTCCTACGCGGTGGTAGGTGGTAAGGATGATCAAACATGTAAATCTTTTCCTTTCCTGGTAGTGGCGGCGTCTTGAGCAGCGCACTTGGCGGTGGTCGTTTTCGCGGCGAGGAACCTTGTTTTGGGGCACGTGTGTGGTTGTTCGTGGAGCTGGACATGCTTACCGGCGTTCGCCCGTGTTATATTTTCTTGAGTTTTGAGTAGCCGCCGCGATTGCTATGCGTAGGACGGCCGGCGAAGTGGGCAAATGCCGATTCTGATTGGTTCAGGCAGAGGAGTGAGTATCTTTTGTTGTAGGAGGTGTACGCAAATCGTGATGGCTTTCTGCGTTAGTTTGTGGTGCGGTGGGCTTGCAGGGCATGGGGGGGTGCGCATGGGTTTCATGCGAGCACTGCTATTGTGCTTGTAAATTTATGGTGAAATTGGGAGATACATGCTGAGGTGACTCCCTGTCGTTTTTCTGTGGGCGTTATCTTGGGTGCTTCCGCTGCTGTTGTTGCTAGTCTACTCGTTCGTGTGCGTGAATTTGTTTTGATTGTTGAATTTGTGTGTGGTTGTGTTTGTTTGGTGTTCGGTACGGCTGCTGCATGTGATGGCCTACTCGTTGGGTTTTTCGAAGTGGTAATACAATAGTGATGCTCACTTCATCGGGGTAAATCGTAGGCATTCGCAAACAGCAATTATACGTGAGCACTTTGAATCCTACGTAGATCGTTGCATGTATGTGTGACGGGGTACACAGCATATATTTTAATTTGTTTGCCTACAGCAGAGTGTACTCTGTGCGTTTTTTCGAGCTAAGGCGGACGGGAGTAGTAGGTGTTTCCTTTGTTTTTCGGCACCACCCCAGGCGCTGTCTAGCACCGCCCCTTGGGCATAAGTATTGTCCAGTGTGTCGATTGGTAAGTCTTGTTTCCTTGAAACCAGGACAAGTGGCTGAAGGAGGACGGTCGGCTGCCCTCTACATGTACAGCGGTAGTGCGGGTGAGTGCGTGCGCGGTATAGTGCCGATGGAATTGGCTGGCACAGAGTGAACGGTAGGCACTGATGTAGTCAAGATGGTCACTACGGTAGTTTGATTTTGGCGGGTGCACGCGGGTGTTGTGACATTCATACCTGCACTATAAGAGCACTACAAGAGGGCGCACCCAACTGCTGTACCGTACTTTTTTTTCCTGTGGGACCAACAGCAGAGAGAGTTGGCAACACCCTCCGGAAACAGGAACAATAAAAACTCTAGGCAGACCGTGGTGGGTGATTGCCCCCCTGATACCCCTGATACGAAAGGAACACGCTGATGATCTGGACTATTTGCATATCTATGCGCACTCTCAACTCATGTGAAAAGACATCCAACGCCTCTGTGTTCGAAAATGTTTCACATGTTTTCTCTGGGATCCTGAATGAACATGAAGACTAAAATGCATACGAGGGGGAAAGTAGGTGCGACTCGGTTGCTCTCCGTACGGCAATTCTGCGCTGAATTTTTCTGTTTTGCCTCGCCACACTCTTCCTGTAAGCGAGGGTGTGGTGGAGTAGACGCGGGCGGCCTGGATCAAGTGCAGCAGATAAACTACTGCTGTAGACCACAGGCGGGTTCCGCGGTAAAGCCGAATTTATTTGGGGGGGGGGGGGACGGATTGTGACCATCCCCTCCCCAACATTTGAAAATTAAATACAATGATCCTATGTCATACTTATGATGATATGCAAAATTTTAAAAACAAACTCGATGGTAGTGGCCGGGTTTCAATAGATTATGCTCTTTTTCGCTCGCCAATTTGCGAAAACGCACAGACCGGGGATGATGCCAAAATATCCCCGGTTTTGAAAAATCGTCAGATCGATCTGAAAAATTCAGGGTTTGTCAATTTTGGGGCGGGGATCACGAATCCGTCGTTGGATTTGTTTTTCTCGCGTTCTGAACAAAGTTATGATGGGTGTTGTACGTTACACTTTTCTCGCCGCCGCCGATTGAAGCACAACAGAAAAACTGCAAGTTTACAAGTCGCAACACGCACAATCTCCACCAAACCACGCGCTTATCTCCACAAAATACAGCAAAAATGCAAACCAAGATTTGAACGCACCATCACCCAGCCCCTCAATAATATCTACTTGCTGCTACCGCAGAATGAGACCCCAAACTGTGTACCGGTAACCCTGTCCATCTGGCAGGTGGTCGCCCCCTTCCGGAAAACAATTTTCTTCGCCTTCTTTTTGCTCCCGACCACAGGATCCACCCCAACCACAGGATCTACACCAGTGACCATGATGACTGTCTCCTCTACTACCTGCTCTTCGAGCTTCGTGCCGCAGGCCGGGTACTTGCTCCTGGTATAGCACCGCTCGTACTCATGCACGCGACAGGCAGAGCAAAAACAAGAGGCCGAACCGGTGTGCAGTTTGTGCCGGAGAACCACCTTCTCGACACAAACCGTCTCTTTCGCCAGAGTCGGACCTTCCTCCCCCCCCTCCTCCCCGCCCTCCTCTTCCTCCCCCTCCCCCTCCCCCTCCCCCTCGTCGTGCTCGTCGTCCTTGTCGTCCTCGTCGTCCTCCTCATTCTCGGAACTTTCTTCCTCTTCGGACTCCTCCGACGACTCTTCCTCGCTGCTCGCTCTAGCCCCCCCGCCCCCGCCCTTCAAGTTCCCGCCAAGGAGGGCGATATGCCTCACACTCACTGCGGTCGTCCTCTTGCTCCTCCTGATGCCGTCAGAACCGCCCCCCGCCTCTGCCGCCCGCCCCTCCTCTTCTTGCTCGCCACGGAGGGCGCCTTGCCTCCCTGAACGCTTCCTCTTACCCTTCCTGGTGCCGCCCGCCCCGCCCCCTGCACCCCCCGCCCCTCCCTCTTCGGGCACGCTGCCCTCTTCCTCCTCCCCAACCTTCCTCGCCGTGAGCACAACCATTTCCGTTCCCGCCACCTTCCCCGTCTCCGTTCCCCTCGCCAACTCCCAATCCTTCTTCATGACGTCTGGAATGCGTGAGTTTCCGCTGAGCCCGGTGGTAGTGGAAGCGTCTCTCGCCGTGTTCGCCCCGATGAAGACGTAAGTGTCCCGCGTACCTTTAATCCCCTTCAGGACCGGCTCCGGCCGATAGATCTCCGTTGGTCCGACGAGCTTCACATACACACGTCGAATGCGATACGGCGTCCACGAGGCGAAGAAGTCAGCTAGCGTCCTGTCTCCGATGCTCTTGAAGTACTCGGCCAAGAAGTTCACCACGCCGGCCGCGCCGGTGATGAGCTTACCCCCTGGCCTGAGCATCTCTCTCTTCATGGCACCCTTGGCTATGGCGCCGATGCCGTCGTGGCTGCCTTTGAAGTGAGACGTAACCGCGAAATGGTGCTCGACGATGTAGCCGAGCTGCCGCACGCTGTTTGACAGAAACCGAAAGTTCCGCTTGCCCTTGTATTGCTTGGCGCAGCCGTCCGTGAAAATGTGCATGCGGGGCGTCCGCTTCTCCTCTCGAGCGGCCGCAGTTGCTGCGCTTCCGTCTCCGTCAAGGTAGTGATCGGCGATTTGACGCATCCCATGGAGGTGGAAGTCGAAGTCGTGGCGAGGGTCTTCGGAAGCAAAGATCCATGTCTCGGTGAGGTGCACCCTGCCGCCGCCTTCCAACACTTGCGGGCTGAAGTGTACCACTGCGACCATGAGGGTGGTCGATTCGTGTCTCGCACACGTCAGAACGGATGGAGGGACATGTTCGAACTTCTCGATGAAGTCCACCTCAATAACCAGGTCGCCGTTTGGGAACGTGTACATGTCCTCCCTGTGGCAGTTCCTCCCCCACATGGCCTTCGTGTGGTGATCCATGTACACCTTGCTGTGCTGCTTGAAATCCCTCCAAAGATCGCAGAGCTTGCCCTCCTTGGTCACTAGTTGGTTCGGCAGCGGTTTCTTCCCCTCCCTGTCTAGATCTTCGTAGCGCGTCCACTCCACCAGCTGCTGAGACTCCTCCAGTGCCTTGCACGTGGGAATGCCCCCCTCCCGCCCGAACCCACAGACCTCACAGTCCGAAGAACCGCATTCCGGCTTCCGCCCCATGAACTCACCCGTGGCGTCGGGGTCCCCAGCTCGCAGGTCAACCTTTGGGCACGCGATGGCTTCCGAGAAAGACCCAAGGTTCGACCACATCTTCTTCCACTCGGAGCCTCCATTCTCCACGCTGCACCACCGACAGTTGCACGCGTCACGCCCCTGCACGTCAACCTCACGAAGCGCAGCCAGGTAATAAGTTTGCTGCGTGTGGATCTTGCACGCGCACTGGTCTGTCTTCGGGGAAGTCAAGCACCTGCACCGCGTCGAGAGGAACAGAGTGCGGCCGGGGTCCGCCAGGACCTCGCCGTTCTCCTCCTTCCAGACCCTCTTGAAGTTGATCCAACCTGGCCACACCAAGAACTTTTCGTAGACTGCCTCACCCTGTCCCTCCACGATGAGCTGCCGACGAGGGTGTCCTTTCGCACTGGGCGACTTGGATTCCCGCCAGATGTCCTTGGAGTTCCCCGATGCACGAGATACCTCGTCGGTGTGCCAGAATGTTCCCATGAGCTCCAGCATTTCTGGAGGGGTTGCGTCGCTCCTCTTGGTCCGGGAGTGGAAGTAGTACGCCTTCTCGTCGATTGCCTGAAGTGGAGGGAGCTCAGGCCTCAGCGCTGTCACCCGCCGTCGGGCGACGACGAGGTGCTCTGGGTGAACGCCAAAGATCTCGGACTTGCGCTTGGCTGTCACCTTCGAAGGCCCGTCTCCATCGTACGCAACAGCCGTGAGCAACGTCTGGAACGTTCTCCTTCCCTCTTTGGTTCGCCCTTGGATTGCGGCATCCTTTAAGGCTCTACGACATGCCGATTGGAGCTCCCTCGCTTCCTCCAGCTGCTCTCGAAGCTTGTCAGCGGCGGGCACCTTGAGCTCTGCCAGACACCGCAACAACTCTGTTGTGGTCATCGCTCTCATGGCCGCCACGAATTGCTGGCGAGGTGTCACTCCACTCGAATTGCTCTGGTGGCTGGAAGGTTTGAGCGGCAGGGTGGGTCAAGTGCAACGTACAGCAGTGGGGGCATTTGGAAACGTCAGCGCTGGGGTAGCAGCAGAAGAAATCAAGAATGAAAGCCTGTGATTCAATTTTTACTTCGATGCGAATACCAAATGTACACTCGCCGTAGACAGCAATCGGAAGTTGCGCCAGTGGTGGCATACAACGCATCGAGCGAGAGCAATCCACAACTCTGGAGGTAGAGAAGAAGTCTCGCATCACAGCGAACACTCGTTGTTACCTTCAGCAGTCGGCAGGCATCTACGGTAAAGAGAGCAGACAGCAGTCTACAACCAAAGGTGGTACCAGTACATGCAGGCAACCTTTCAGTTTTGTTTTCCCATACAGCAGTACCCTCAAGGTTGTTGTTTTTTCATCTAGTACAACAGAAGAGGAGAGGGGTTCAAGAGGGGATAGCGAGAGAAAGACAGCAGACAGACCCAGCAGCACCCAGCAGCAGCAGATTCTTACCTCTTCCTCAGGGGGGCGATCGGGAGCAGTCGGCCTTGTAACGCCAGCACGAGTCTTCCGCGGCAACGCCGCTCTCACTGGACAGCTCATCTCGCTGTCTGCCCTCCTGCCGGTGTTGCCGCATCTTCGCACGCCGCTGCTAGGCTGCAGTGTTTTTTCGTATCTGTCCCTTCTCGTCTTCAAGATTTCCTCGGCCTTTTCCCTAGCTTTCGAGCATAAGGCATCCTCGTCATCCTTGCGGTAGGCCACAAGCTGTACGACAACGCGGGTATCCTTCCGCTGGTCCATCAGCTTGGTGGTGAGCTTGAGGCCTAGGTCGTGTGGAACCCATTGGTGCGTTACTTTCCACTGCTTGTCTCCCAGCGGTACGATGCGGATGCAGTTGCCCGCTGGGATGCCAGCTCCAGCCCCAGCCCCACTCATATATGGCCCCCTCCCGCGGCCACTTTTGGTCAGACCAACTTTCTGAGTGGCTCTACCCCCCCTAAATCGGCCAAGCGGAGTCGATTGCCGAGGAGAAATGGAGGCGGCGAGATCGGGAATGCGCCGA